TGGATGGATGGATGGATGGATGGATGGATGGATGGATGGATGGATATAGCGTGGTGATCATTGCTATGGACTCATACACCTGAGGTTGCAGGTTCAAGTCTAGCTTGCGTCAAGAAGGTCATCTGGCATGAAACAGTTGCTAAAAGTTTTATTGAAAATATTTTTTGATATTGTTTCAAGGAGGAACGAAAAGATAACTTCAGCGATTTTTAAAAACTCTAATCCACACAAGGTCATAACAACACATACAGGCTCAAATATTTAAAATGAAGACATTCTGTCATGGTTGACAGGAGGTCTGGACCTAAAGAATGCAAACTGACATGAGAAACAAAAAAAAAACTAACATTTTATTTAATATTTATTATTATTTATACTTGTCATGAAACTGATCCTCTTCCCTAGAGGACAGCAGAAAGGTGAAACTTGATTATCTATTTTAAACTCCCAATAAAAGGGAGCAGATGAACTTGATCACATTTAGATTTCTTCCTATTTGCCTTTGTTGTTTATTAGATCTCAACAGCTGAGGGCTGAATCTGATCATACAGTGAATTTTTAATCATTACAAAATGTTGATTAAGGAGAACAAATTTTCTCTTTTAGGTTTTATTACAAAGTTAAAATCAAAATGAAACCACAACCAGTTACCATAAAAAGACAACTGACTATTTGGAAATAATATTTATTGTAACATCAAACAATTATCATTCATTAATGCAGATAGTTTCAGATCTAACATCATTTTTTTCATCAGCAGGTGAAAGCCACGGTCTTACTGTGCTCTACATCGGGGGTCCGGAGGCCTCCCTGCCTTCTGAGTGTCCCTGATCAGGCAGAGAGTCAGCTGAGGTCAGCAGTTTTTCCAGAAGGTGATGGCACCGTCAGGAATCAGAGGCACGACTCCTGGACCAACTCCTCTCAAGGAAACAAAACCATTTTATCCAACACTTGTTACATTTCTTAAACTGTACTGCACTTCTGCACTTTACAACAACACAGTGAGACAAACAGGGTTCAAACTTCACAAAAAGGAATGATGTGACAGAAGGAGAGGAAGAGTTCCTTAATGCTACATAAAGAAGTAAGTASAAGAATATTAAAACAGTACATTTAATGCATAAAAACAAGCAGAAATGTGTGTGGCACATTATCYCATCATTTTTACAGGACAATAATGAATCCTAACAGTGAAGCACTGACATCAACAGGTCAAGCTGCAAACAAAGAATGGAAAGAAAAATAGCTTGCTCTGCACATTTTCCTCCTGTACACATGTACACGACACCTGTASAGCACTGCCTCAGGATGTGGTGGCTCAGGCACGTTTCTGCAGACAAAAACACTGTTTTATGTATYAAAGGAAATGAAAAGGCTCCACCTCAGCCAGCTGTTTGAGACAACCCACAGCATGGTTCACATGAGATTCAGACCTGAACACTGGCCTTGCTCTGCCTCTGAACATCACTGAAAGGACCTGAAGTCATGAACGTCTGTAGATGTGATTAAGTAATGGCAGTGCAGCGTTTGCTGTTGCTCGTAAATGTGCTGAGGTCTGTCGGGTCTGGGAGGTCTGGGTGGTCTGGGAGGAGGTCCAGAGGGTCTGGCAGGAATGAACTGCTTTTTAAACTGCAGGAACACACAAAAAAAAGTTTGAACACACGTTTACACAACACCATTTCCCCGCAAGTTTGTGGTCAACCAAACATCGTCAACATGCATTTACACAGTAAAATGGGCGTCAGTCGGTAAACAAATGGTTTAATGTAGAAGTGTAGAGGTTTAGTATTAGTTAATGTGGCTGTTTTCCACCACAGCACGACATTTACAAGAAACAAGTGTTTTATAAACTGAAAAACTAATTCAACATGGCCCCCATTTGGCTTGACTCAAGGATTTCTGCCATTTTCATCATAGTCTGTGTAGCTTTTAGACTGAATTTCAGTTATGGGCTGCCGTTTGTAAAGTTACACAGTCAAAAATTACCACCAATATTTTTGTTTTATTTA